ATAAACACTCAAAATTTATCATGCCCTAATTATTTTACTATTTTACGGTCTTCTATGCCCTTGGTTATTTATGCCTAGTGCATTTGTGTGGTGGCATATAATGTGTGCCACTTTGTATCGCTCCCCAGGACCACTGTTAGGTGACATTATATTGGTAGTTGGAAGTTGGCCAAGATTAGAATATTTACATGATGGAAAAAATCTACAAATCAAGACCTGATTTATTGTATTGTCAATTGCCCAGATTGTCTAAGGCAGGCCTGTTCAACTTTGGCACTGTTGACATGCGGGCCTGCATAATTCTTGGTTGTGGAGGGAGAAGCTGTGCATTGCAGGATGTTTAGCAGCATCCTGGTCTTTGCTTACTAAATGACACTCCCTCCAAGTTGTGACAACCACAGCTGTCTCCAGATATTACCAAATATCCCTTGGGGAGCAGAATTGCCCCTTCTCTCCATTGATAGCTACTGGTCTAAGGAGTTGGCAAATTAAGGTCAGTGGGCAAAATTTGACCCATGGATGTTTATATACAGCCCTCGGGCTAAGAAGTTCTACATTTTAGAAGAATTGGAAACAAAACAGAGACTAGATGTGACCTGCAAAGCCTAAGGTACTTACTTTTTGGCCCTTTAAAGAAAATGTTTGTTGACCCTTAGTCTTAGTGATAGAGAAACTGTTAATAAAGCAGATTAAACTTGGAAGTGTGTCATGTTAGTAGCTGTTACATTGTGAGGAACACATACAAAAACCAAAGAAATGTCCTCCCAGTGTATGAAAACTATTATTTGATTCAGCAAAGTAGCTACTCACATCACTCACAAACAAGTGAATTTCCAACATACATAAAGTTGGAACTCAAAGAGGGTTCAGTTTAACAAAATTAATTTATATGAGAATCATAGTTTTACAGTAGATCACATAAAACATTTCAGGACAATATTTATGTTGGGGAAAGAACTAGTGGTCTAGAACGTGGCTGCACTGCAACCATAAGTTGGCTGTCAATACAAGAGTTTGGCAAAACTCAATGAAAACATTCCAGTTGACTCACTGGCTACATGGAATACAGAAATTGTAAATTTATTATTATTTGTAAAACATGTGTTACTTACCTGTTCAATCAGTAAAACTTAAATATTCACCCACCTCTCTGAGAGCTGGTTATTAATCATTTACCAGCACACCGCTGCTCCCACCTCCTGTTCTACCCGTACTTCTTCGTTCCTCCTCCACATTCTTCCTTGAAAGACATTGTCCTTCTCTTTATTTCACAGGATTCTCCAACCTCCCTCCTGTCTCAGAGCCTTTGCTGCTGTCTTTTCCTACCCTGCTCCCATTTTTCCCTCAACACCTTTCACTCACAACACATCAGAGATCCTTCTATCTTAGCTAAAAACATGACATCCTTAGGGGAAGGATTTCTAAAGCCCTCTGACATGGTGGGGGCTCCTTGATAAATACAATCACAGCACCCTGTACTTTCCTCCATAACACGCTGTCACAAGAGAACTTATAAGATCACCTGTGTAGTTTTTATTAATTGTCTCCCACACTAGGCTGTAAATTGCATGACTGCAGAGACCACATCTTTTTTTCACTGCTGATTTGCCAGTCTTAACAGACTGTTTGGAAAATGTTAGCTGCTCAGTAAATGCTTGTTCCTTTTCCCTTTCTTTCTTTCTGTGCTAGTTAGAATTAATCCCATGAATAGAGAGCACATTTTCTGTTTGTTATGATTAATGGAGAGTATTTTATGAGACCCTGAACTTTTCCATCTTATCACATAACACAAGTGAATGTTATTCACTCTATGTGATTTAATTCATTATTATTATTATTGCTGTTATTATTTTGCAGAGTCTCCCTCCTTCATTGGATGGTGAGCTTTCAGAGCTTGGGTTCTGGGCCTCTCCTACTCAGCACTAGCACATTGCCTGGGGCACCCAGTTATCAGGGACACAGTGGTGAACAAGATAGGTATAGTCATATATCTATATTCCATATAGTGAAAGAGACATGAAACATGTCCACGTATGCCAAGTGATGCTTAGTGCTTAGTGCTACAGGGGAAAATAAAGCAAGGTAAGAATGAGAAGAGAGGCCAGGCACAGTGGCTTATGCCTATAATGCCAGCACTTTGGAAGGTTGAGGGGGGAACACAGCTTGAGCTTAGGTGTTTGAGACCAGCCTGGGCAACATGGCAAAACCCCATCTCTACTAAATACAAAAAATTAGCGTAGGTGACACAGCCAGACTCTGTCTCCAAAAAGAAAAAGAAAAAAGGGGGGCGGGATGGAATGAGAAAAGAGATCCTTGACTGGGGAGAGAAATGGCATTGTATTTGGTGTGTCCAGGAAAGGCCTCTCTGGTGAGGTGAGTAGAAAGCTGTAGCGTGCAACGGAAGGTCTCTGGGCAAAAATCAATCCAGGCTATAGAACAGATAGTACAGAGGCCCTGGGGAGAGAGTGTGCTTTTTGAGTTCAAAGAGCAACAAGGAGGTCTCACGACTAGAGTGAGTGATAGATGAAGTTAGAGCTATGGTGGGATGGGGTAGGATTCAGTGTCATATAGATCCCTGGGGTCACTATAGGAAGTTCAGCCATTATTCTGAGAGACATGAAAGCCAGTGGGGGTTTTGAGCAAAAGACCACATGATCTTTTGGTTTTGGTAGGATCACTCTGGCTGCCATGCTGGGATCAAATGACAGAGTGCAAGCATGGAAATAAGAAGCCATGTAGGAGGCCATGGCACAAACCCAGGTGCGAGAAACCTGGTGGGGACCAGAGAGATGGCAGCGGAAGTGGTGGGGAGGTATCAGATCCAGCACATATCTTGTAAAGGTAAAAAGTGAATATTTTCTAATGGATTGATTGTGTGGTATGAAGAGAAGACAAATAATTGTTGAAATTTTTGAATGGACACTTATGCCCAGCATTACATGGTATACCATTGAAGATCCAAAATGATGGTAAATACATGCCACCCTCAAGGCATATCCAGTCCAGTGGGCAAATACGATTGTCAGTGTGAAGACCCAGAGAAAATAGTAACAGCTAACCCTTACAGAGCACTTTCTGTGTGTCAGGTACCAGCGCTTTGCATAGATTAATTCATTATATCCTTACAATAACCTCATGAAATACATAGCAATTATATATTTATTTTATAGATGGGGAAACCAAGACAGATGTTTAGTAAAACCCTAAGGTCTAAGGTCACACAGCTTGTAAATGGCAGAGCTGAGATTTGAACACAGCCAGTCCAGTGCCAGAGTCTGTGTCTTCAGTCATTGTCTCCATCTCTGCTGGAGAGAATGAAATCACAGTACAGGCTCTTATCATCCAAGGAGAAATGGGCTTGGGATCACATAGAAGTCACACAAGTCCCTCAGGCAGCCCAGAGCTACAGAGTGCAGTGAGTGTCAATGCAAACTCTCTTCAAATGAGAATGTACAGGCCTGGAGTGCCCCTCTTCCTTGTATCAAAGGGGCTGGAGGATGGACCATAGTACATTAGGAATCCCCAGAAGTAGGTAGGAAGTGGGAGCCTGTAGGACCTACAAAGATGCTATTTTGTAAGAGAAGCAAAATATAACATTTCTAACAGGTTTGCTTATAAATCTTCCACTAGCTGACTTTGTGATTGGAAACAAATGACACATATCACAGATAGAAAATGCACACATTACACACAGACACACACGTGCAGCCATGCTACTTTGGGAAGTTGTTTCTCAGCTCACTCACTGAATTAACAAAGAGTTACACAATGCTTTTTCTGTGAAAGGAAATGTGCTAAGCCAAGGAATAGATACAGAGACAAGCCTGCTACCGTGCCTGGTCCTCTGGAAATTATGTTTTTATAAAAGAGTTTTGTAAAATGTTCTTTTATAGTAGAAAACTATAATATGTAAGGTAGAGGAGTTAAGGGGCAGCAAGGGAACTACAAATAAAAGATCAGTGTAGTTTGGTGGGCAGAGTAGGGGCAGATGAGGAATGGGGCTGGCTTCAGGGAGAACTCTGCTTCTGTTCCATGCCTGGAAGATGTATGGGCATGAAAACAAGGTAATTGAGGTAGAAGGAAGAGCTTGTGCAAAGGTATGAAGAGCTTGGTGTAGGTTGGCAGAGGTTGTCTGAAGAGACAGAATGTGAGAAAATCCTAGCAACATTAGGGCTAGATCATCAGGGGTGGAAGGGGTTCTAAATGTCATGCATTTTGTGTTTGTTTTTTAGGCATAGAGAATACACTGGGGATTTTTGATGAGGGGCACACCTAGCAAGTTACTGGGTACATAGTAGGTAGACAATCAATCAATGATGGTTCAACTAATGAAGGAAATAATAATGGCCACAACTTATTGGGTGATTGCTATCTGCCAGACACTTTTCTGAACATTTTAACTACTCATGTAATTCTCACCACAGCCCATGAGATGGTTTCTCCACATCCATTCTAGAGATGAGGAAACTGAGACTCACAGAGGCCAAGTGTCTTGCTCAGGTTGTGACTAAAGAGTGGGCATCTAATCAGAGCCCATGCTTCCACACTGCCATGCAATTTGGAAAACAGAAGAAAGGGAGAGAAGAGAAAGGGGTTATAGGACCAATGTCATCCAGAAAGGAAGCTATGATAGGCCCAAAGCAGAAGAAGAACAACGTGGGTTGGAAATAAGAGACATTCCAAAGATGCAATCAACCCTAATATGTTATTATTTGATATGGGCGGCTGGGAAGACAGAAGAGTCAAAAAGGCTTCCAGTTTCTTGCTCAATCTCTGGGAAGTGATAGAGCTATTCGAAGAAATTGGGTGAGAGGGAGGGAAGATGAAAGTTTGGTGTTAGTTGATGTGTACAGAAATACAGGTGCCCAGGAGCCCACAAAACGGCCAGTGGAGAAATGCTTTAAAAGGCAATCTGCAGGGCTCCTTGGTTTTGTCACATTCCTCATTCTGGGGCTCTGCGGATTTGTCTTGGGAATCTCGAGGCTCTCCCAAGGTTCCTTTCTGTGTTTATATTATTTAGCAGGGAAGGATTGTTAATGACTAATCTGTGTCCATGAGGCACAGAGCCAAGGAAGAGATGCTGCTGCTAGCCCGGAAGACCGCCTGTGATCATGCACAGCACACTAGAACTCTCTCCTCCTCTTCACCTCACTGTCTCCCCGACTTATCCTAATGCAAAATTGGATTCTGAGCATTTGTAGCAAAATTGCTGGGATCTGGAGAGGAAGACTGGATTCAGAATCCTCTCAGGGTCTTGAAAGTCCATCTTCGACCCAAAACAATCCAAGTAAGTACCTAATTCTTTTGGGAGTGGGGTGTCTATCTCACGGCAACAGAGGAAAAATAGTCAATTAAAAGTTTCTCTTTGACATCAGTAATTTTTGTCAATAAGTGAATTCTAAGTTAGTAGAGTTTGATATAAAGTTCTGAAAATTAAAAAAAGAAAGAAGCTCAAAAACAAAAAGAAGCAGAAGCAGAAGTTAATGAGTCTAACAGTTGCTTATCTATTGAAAACTTATTTAGAAATATCCTTTTGTGGTCAGCTGAGTAGAATCACTGGAGACAGTACATTTCAGAAATGTTTCCATTCTGATTCCATAGACAATTTGATCCATATAGTACACTATAATTTGGTGATTTGTCAAATATTGATGTGAGTTTGGGAATATTGCTCATTTCAGATGACTCGGGAACTAGGAATAGAACATTTAACCTGTGCTTAATTGAATGAAAGTTTTCCCTAGGAGAAGATAGGTGGAAAAAGTGTTCCTTCTTGACTTCGCTTGTTAACTCTTCTATTGCCTTCCATTTTGAATATTAATATCAAATGGAAATATCAGATGGAAATATTTTTAAAAGATAGAAATGTAGGAGGAAGAACTTTAGTATTAAAATTGTCAAAGGACTAAATCTATAGATAAGATACCTCTTTGTCTCTTTACTGATATAGTGAATCGGGCAACTGTGGAGCCTGACTTACTTCTTTTAATTGGGTTTTTATTTAGAAGGGAAGAGCAGGAAGGAATGACAAGCAACTCACCTTGAATTCTAAGGAACTCACACCTGAGTTTTGAGCTTTAAAGAAATCTGATGCTGTTCCTGGTGCTGTCCAGGAACCACATCAGGAGTATTGACAAGAGGAGTAGGGACCCTTAGAAATAATATTAGTGATAAATAAGAAGGCAGGAGGAAACTTTCAGAGGTGTGGGATAGGTTTATGGCATAGATTGTGCTGCTGATTTCATGAGTGTATACCTATCAAAGTATACACTCTTTTGACTACTTTTGACTACTCATCAAAGTGTGTACATGAAATAGGTACAATTTTTATATGTCAGTCACACCTCAATAAAGTAGTTGTGAATATACATATATACTTTTTTTTTTCTGTTCCTAAAAAAAGGAAGGGAGAAGAAAGGGAAAGATGTTCAGGGAGCCACCATTTTGTTTCTAGCTATGATTTTATAAAATAAAAGACACTTTTATCTTCTGTTACCTTCTTACCCCCAGTCCTCCAAATTATGGATCTGTGCCATTTGTACTGTGGACTTTTCTGTTTTCTGAGGATGTTACAACAAATACTGATGCAATTCCTAGTTAACTGATAAAGTATTGGCCAGGGACAAAGCTCTCTTGTCCTGGGACCCTTCCTCAAGATTTGCAGCAATTTTCCTCCATGTACCTCTGCCCTCTCTCCGCAGCTGGAGAGGCAAAGTCATGAAATCCTCATCCTTCCTCTTGTTTCCACCTCTCCAAGATCGGGCCAATTGTAATGGAATATCCAATGGCTATGAAGCCCTCAGTACTCAGTAAGGAAAAGAAAATAAATGTATGTATGCATGAGTGTGTGATGGAGCTAACTTTTCTTCAATGTCTACTTACATGTCCTAGCCTTTACTTCATTTGCCTGTTTCCTTCTCCCAACAACCCTGTATGGGAGTTTTTCTTTATTGTTTTATTTTTATTTTTTGAGACAGAGTCTTGAGTGCAGTGGCACAATCTCGGCTTACCTACAACCTCTGCCTCCCAGGTTCAAGTGATTCTCCTGCCTCAGTCTCCTGAATAGCTAGCTGGCACTACAGGTGCATGCCACCACACCAGCTAATTTGTGTACTTTTAGTAGAGACAGGGTTTCACTATGTTAACAAGGTTGGTCTCAAACGCCTGACCTCAGGTGATCTACCTGCCTTAGCTTCCCAGAGTGCTAGGGTTACAGGCGTGAGCCACCATGCCCGCCCAGTCAGGAGTTCTTCCTTTTTCTTTTTCTTTTCTTTTTTTTTTTTTGAGAAGGAGTCTCGCTGTCGCCCAGGCTGGAGTACAGTGGCATGATCTTGGCTCACTGAACCTCCACTTTCCAGGTTCAAGCAATTCTCCTGTCTCAGCCTCCCAAGTAGCTGGGACTACAGGCCCACATTACCATGCCTCAGCTAAATTTTTGTATTTTTAGTAGAGACGGGGTTTCACCATATTAGCTAGAATGGTCTCGATCTCCTGACCTCGTGATCCACCTGCCTCAGCCTCCCAAAATGGTGAGATTACAGGCATGAGTCACTGCACCCTGCCAGGAGTTCTTATACTCATTTTACAGATGAGAAAACTGAGACTCAAAAAGGACAAGTAACCCATCCACAGGCAGATGGTTAAGAGTAGCAGGACCTGAATTTGAGGGTTGGTCTTTCTGACTCCAAAGCCTCTTCCTATTTACCTTGACATTGGCGGATGCTGGGAAAACTTGAAATGAGGAATAATGGGGGTGCGGGGAAGACCAGCTGTCAAGCATTCCAGCTTGACAGGGCTGACTTATTAAACCCAGGAACTAGTTTGATGATTCCTAAACCATCTGCATAGGCGTTTTCAAGTGATTGCACCATCAGAAGGGATAGTGAAAAGTTTGGAGCACTACTTGTTTTAACCCAGAGAACAGTCTAGGATAGCTGGTTGAACATTTCAGTTATCAGCATTTAATTAAAGACCACAGTGCTGCTGTGATTAGGGACATCTTAGAGGAGCTCAGAACTGCTGTGGCTCACAGTCTCTGGGTTATGAATACTGTGAGAATACATATCATGATGTATAGATTTTCAGAGGCTCACATTGTCATTAGGTGGGTGTATAAGAAACAGAAAAGGTTCTTTTCTTGATAGAAAGAGATTTCCCTTCTCTTTGTTCTCAGTCTCACTTTTATCTTAATCTCTAGCAACACAGATTATAAAGGGGAATAAAAAAATAGGAATGAACCAGACACAGTGATGAGTGCCCGTGGTCCCAGCAGCTCGGGCAGCTGAAGTGAGAGGATTGCTTGAGCTCAGGAGTTCAAGGTTGTAGTGAGCTATGATCATGCCACTGTATTCTAGCCTGGGCAACATAGTGAGACACCACCTCAAAAAAAATTTTTTTTAAATAAGAAACAGGAACAATTTTCCTCCCAGTTATTTCTTATTGTCACTGGTAGTTTCTACCAGTGACAATGTAGCTAAAAGGCATTACCATATGAGTATCCTTAGTCACCAAGCTGTATGAGGAGGCAAAAATTATTACGTAAAAATATCCATTATTCTCTCTTTTCTCTCTCCTCTCTTACCCTGCTCTAGAATACCCTAACCCCTTTGCTCTTCACTGTAAATTATTTTCTCCCTCAGTTTGCCCATTTCCAATTTTGGCCATAAAGGAAGATGTACTATTCCTACTCTCTCTGCTTTATGAATTTGTGTTAAAATGACACTAATATAATGCAACTTGATTGCAAAGTAAAATTGCAAATATTGCACAGGAAAAAAATAAGATTTATTCTTTGTTAGGTCTAAGAAATATAACAGGGTTCTGGTGATTAAAATAAATATGTAGAGATACAAAATAAATTTTTATTAATTCTCATGTTTTAAGATAAAATCCTAACAAAACTTTGAGATTTTGCTTCCCATTTTAAAGAGATTTAGATGGCCTTTTCTAGGTCTCAATGAACATGAGATAACCTAGGTCTCTTCCACTTTAATTCATGTCATTAATGTAAAGAAAAGGAGAAATGGCATGGCTTTGCATTTTCAAGTCCCATAAATATATTTAACATGGTTATCTGGAAAACATGGTAAATAATATACTTATGAATGGAGAAGATAGCCCTGCTGTAGGATGTTGCTGGTTAGAGAAAAACACCAGAAAACAAAAACACTGCTCTGGGCTGAGACTGTTCCTGACTAAGCAGAGAACTATTGCTGCCATTTCCTAGAGAGCCATGGAAGCTGCCAGTGTAGATGTAAAGTTGATACCAGCTGGGACTTAAGGAGCAAAAGTTGGCTGCCATCCAGAATTTGCAGGGCAGAGACAGGACAAAGAAATGTCATTCCAAAGTGATTGTGTGTAAGATCCATGCTCTCCTGGAATCTCAACTCTGAATCTGAGGCTATAATTGGGCGTCAGGGGGCTAGGGTCCCTTGAGACTATATTTAAAAATGTATGCATTTTACAGAGAATTTTTAGGGCAGTGAAATCTTTCTATATGATATCACCAATGGTGGGTACATGTTATTATACACTTGTCAAAACCTGTAAAGTACACAACACCAAGACTGAACCCTAATGTAAACTATAGTCTTTTGGTGATAAAGATGTGTCAGCGTAGGTTCACCAATTGTTAAAAAAAAAATGTGCCACTCTGGTGCTGGTTGTTGAAAGTAGAAGAGGCTGTGCATGTGTGTGGGGGAAGAGGTAAATGGAGACTCTGTACATTTTGTTCAATTTTATAGTGAACTGAAAACTTCTCTTAAACATTTATTAATTTAGAAAAGTGTGTATTTTATGTATGTCTTTTTTAGAGAGAGGTTTATAATTTTCATTGAAGCTCAAAAATGCTGCAAAATTCTAAAATTGTTTTTAAAAACAAGGAAAACCCTTCTCTAAATATACCTGCTTATAGCATCTGAGTATATAATTGGCAAAATGGAGAACAGGAAATGGTATCCTAAGAGACTGACATATCTTAACGTAGCCATTGTGTTAAAAGTTACTACATTATAACTAAGTCTAAAATATTTTTTGACCTTCCCTAACCCCATTCTCCTCTACTTCACTCTTTCAATTCTAATTCCACTTCCTAATATTTGATCCCATAGAGCACAGTTCATTTAGCCATTCCAATGTTGATGGGTTTTTTTTAGGTGATTTGCCCTCTTTCTGCCTTAGAGGCAATGCTGCAATGAATATCCTGGTACACACAGGCAAAGATTTCTCCAGGAAAGATACCTAGGAATTAAAATTGCATTTTATTTTAACATATACTGCTAAAGAGCC